ATCACATGTCCGTTCAGTGAATCTAATATAAACTGAAAAGCTTATGATCATTTTATCGATAATCAGTATGTATTATAGAGGTGCTGAAGGCCGTGTTGACATTACGAGATTTCCTTAAGTTCTTTTATCTTGTATTTTAAATATGGTTATCTATTTTTTAACTCACTTGTTTCTTACAATATCATTCACTGTCCTCTTTTCAGAGTAGAGTTTCTGGAGATCTTATTATCACTTTATTACATTCATTTTACTACTTAAATGTTATAAACAATGTTAACCATATAACAGGGCATAAAGCTGTGGAAGGATTTTGAGCTCTGGAAAATGTATGTATCACGTGTTGAATCGTCTCGAAGTTCAGATGTCTGTTTTGTTCAAAAATGCTTATGAACTAATGAACTTCAGAGTTATTCTAGTTCAAATGTTTCTTTCCGAAACTTCTTAACACCATCTAGTTCAAAACTTTCGTTGAAATTTCCCACTTTTAGCTTGAGTTTAATTTGACGTACTTCGAAATGTTGCTACGATAAGTCTGTTCAACTGTGCCGTGTACTTATGCCAACAAACATGAAATCACTTTCTTCTTGTAATAATCTTGAGCTCGTTTTTTATGTCTGTTTATGTTACTGATCTACAGGTGATGTCCAATTCTTTTTTGTGCCTGTATGGTGATGAACTATCCTATGTAATGTTGATAAAATAGTATTGTCAATTCTCCAAACGACATACTTCTTACCTTTCTTGAGCTTTACCACATTCTCTGCAACACGAATATTTACATTTGCTTGTTTGTGATGTCGATAAGATTTCTGAACCGATGTCTCTTATTACACTCTTTTGCTGTCTTTCGTTATTCCTGTTTTCATCGTTTTTCAGGATCCCTGTCCTTTCATCATATAATTTGAGGAACTGATTTTATTATATCATTGGCACTCATTACTGTCATCGATTCATTCGAGTCTGAAAACGGTATGGTGCACTGAGTTTTACACGGACAGGAATACAGATAAACGTCAACTCGTAGATGAATAAGTACATTCAACATCCATTATAATAAAACGTGACCGTCGCTGTGTATTTAGTCAGAACATGTCACTTAAAGATACTCGATATGTGAATTTTCAGCTAACGACTCAAAATTAAAATCTAATTTCTAATCAATTTGTTCTCGAAAGATTGCGAATTAAGTAGTCACATCAAAATATCTGGACCATGAATAAAAACTTATCAAACATACATATGAGAGATATGTCATATTGGGTTCATAAAATAGTCATTAGAAATCAGCTAACTTTTCAAAATGTTAATACAAATTATTGAATTGTGTTCAGAGAATAAAAGAATTGAAACAAACTTTAAGGAGGTTGTGGCTCTGCTAATCTGTGGATAATGAATAAAGTACACTTTTACAGTCTTTAGTCATAAACGTGACAGTGGATTCGATATTATTAAGGTTTTTCTAACTATTCACATGATGACTGTTGATGAGCTCTGTGATTTTTTCACAACCATTACCCAGAATCCAAGTTATTTCAGAATGTTTAGGTGCTCTGACGCGTTTATTGATAAGAGGAATTCGATTTTGTGCATTGGAGTCACTAATAGTTGATGACAACTCATGGTTAATGACTTTTACGCTAATCAACTGTTTAGTTCGATAAAAAAATATACATCTACTGTGAATTTATTTGTCTTGGGGTAACGTTCTTGCAAGTGCCATCATAAATGATGATGTTCAATTCATGTTAATTATCCGTTCTATATGCTTTTTATATATGGCAATCACGAGTCTACTGCATTTAAACAGGATATCTTGATATGAATATCCTAAAAATTCGGAAGTTTGACGATCTCTTTATTGTAAGGAAGTGCTTTTAGATAGTTTGATGAGAGCGAGAACCAACATTCTTCAAACGGTCACTGCTTTCAACTTATTTGTTTACTTGTACATATGTTAAAATGATATCTCGACAGTAAACTTCTTCGAATTTTCTATTATGTCTTCTTGAGCGTGTGAACTCACTGTGACTAGTGGTGCGTCTATAGTATTGATTAGAATTCATCATCACATGAATGACATCTATTAGTATTCTCTTCTGTACCATGGTAAGTTAAACTTCACACAATGAGGCGCACACTGAAATTAAGAGAAGCATGTTTGAATCCATATACATTGAGACAGCTCACAGAAGTGAAAATGTCTGTGACACTGATTTTACTGCACATAATTAAACCACATGTTGAGGTGTGAGCCTGTTTTTAGACTCATTCAGTAAGGCTGCTGAGAACACTGATTACGCTATTCTATTTGAGATTCATAAAGGTTAATTAGAGAGTCAACTCTACGTTTATCTTTTGTCACAGAGATGGAACAGGTACATCTGAAAATTCAAATGACTTTGAATCTAAGGAAGAGCAATATGAGTGAAAGAAATGTACGAAAACCTTTCTGTCAAAGAATGCTATGACTTTTTCTACAGACATCATACTTGTTAGTTTATTGACTGATATGAGTCTAAAAACAAAGTATCTGGGTGTGATATAGCTAACAACGTCTTTATTCATGTTGTGTAATTCAAAGACGACTGGAGATTAAATATTGGATGGTTCCAATCTATATACTGAAGGAGGTACAACGCAGGAAGAACCACGGATATTCGTTGACCGACAAACTTAGACATGATTAATAAGAATGTTGTCACCAATTTGACGCTTGTCGAATAGAAATATCCGTCAGGCAGTAAATGAGTTATAACGTATTGTCGTGACTGTACATATTTGACAAGGTGTAGAGGAATGTCAAGACCACTTGCATAATACCTATTAGATAATTGTATGTTCAAGCGTGGGATAGGTTTGTTTCTTGTGGTCAGCCTAGACATTATGTTATGTCTGCTTACATTAGTTTTATGTCAAACGTTTCTTGTGATTGTCACATTAGGTTTATTCGATTCAGGCAGTGTTATTTCGACAAGTTGCCAATTGTCTGTAGGTAAGGATGGTCTGAAAAATTGTTGCATAAACTAGTTCTTACTGGATATATATATATTAAAACTTATTTATTATATCCAATTATTTCAAAAGAAGGGACCTAATGCTGTTATGTTCCATTTTGTGTTAGTATTCAACTGTAAGTAACACTCTGATAACAGAACATATATCTCATATTTGATAAAATTAATTGCACTCGACAGAACCGAATCATTGCATCATTACAAAAATAAGATATAGGCATGCTTAAGCAATTTATTAAGTATCTACAAAACGGAAACGAGCATACTCCGATAGCAGGTTGTCATAGTGCTTAAGCTTTCTAATGAACAAACTACTTGTTGACGATAAAACGGGTAAGATCTAGTATGAATGAACTTATTTTGGTGTGATGAAGTCTCAATAGCAATCTCCACACTGGTTTCGGTACCAAATACTTGCCGAAGTATGGTTGTTCCTTTCGAACTCCAATCCTTATTCTTACAACGCTTCGACGAGCTGTCGTTCAGGGACTGGAAATCGTTAAAATTGATAGGTCAAAATAAACCTCAAATACTCGAGTACTCTTGATTCAACAAAACCTTACATGATTAATTAGCTTCTGCAAATAGCCATTTCTCTTATGGCCATTCCTTTATATCCGCATTTTTAAGCAGCAGCCGTCTTTGTTAAAGCGGTAATTTGAAGGCGAACACGATTTCAATATAATTTCTATAACTGGTTGGATAAGACTAACTTATGTACAGATCAGTGGAATTTGAAGTATATTAGTCAGTTGGAAAACACCAATGATTGACGAGAATTGTGCATTATTCGATACACAAATATATCAGCCACCTATGTGTTGGTAACACTCTATCCACTATTATTCTGTACAAATCCGCAGTGAGTGCTTGTGTTTGATGATCACAAATAACGGATGTCGGAATGTGTTAGGTCTCGATAAACATAATTGATGGTAACTTTGGGATCCATTTATGGACCAATACTAAACATACATTTTTATCGTATAATTGTTAAACAACTAAACCATTATTATTATTCATGTTCCTCCTATTATAAACTATATTTTGACCTATGATCCATTATTATACGTTTTACCATTCTTGAATTATGCCCTGTCTATTAATCGCTGCCTCCCAGATTAACAGCCACATTTGGTCAAATTCTGTACAAATGTTATTTCCCATTCTATGTTACGTTGTCGTCTGTTTGATAAGTATGTAAGCTCAGTAAGTTGGAAATATAATGATTCATGTTGCACACACTGAGACTCGTGTTCTGGACTTAACCGACTGAGCTAGGCGGAGGGCAGGACCAATCAGGACTCTAGGCTGCTCGCACGTGTTTTAAGCGTCCTTGGTCCGATCGATAATTTGGTGCTTCTGATAAGCGGCTTTGGGCTATAACACAATGCTGACGAGCAACAATTTTAAAGTACTGACGAGCACTCCGGATCGATTCTCTCCTGAAACTGAGATGACACTTGTCATAGAGCTAATTTTGAAGGATAACTTTTTGTCCCATTATATCTTTCACAATTGTCAGCTCTGCAATATATATATATATATATATATATATATACACGATTGTATATTCAGCCATCAAAACGTGTGCCATACCTGAAATTTCTAACAAAGATCGTCAAAAGATACTCCGGATATCTACGGTCCACATTGGCGTTTAAATCTTTCTTGATAAAACCTGATGTGTAGTAACGTTTTGATTAGTTTCTTAAAACTACTCCAATTCTCTAGATTGTAAATACATAATCTACACTAGCAGATTATGTTCATAATATACCATCAATTTAGAGAAGTTTCTAGTAGATATTCAAGGCCAGACGTTATTCCTGCATATCACATTAAGTAGTTGAATGTAAAATTTAAAAATAGGGAGTGGATACAATAAGGAAAATGGGAAATTCAACGTCAAATCCTGAGGTCCTGTCTTCAAATCCCTTAAAACACACAGCATTCAGGTCTTTAATTAAAGCAATGTAGTTTTCTTTAAACCTGGAAAAGACAAATCCAAATTAAGATTTTCTACTGACTTAGCCAGGGCTGAAATAATCAGCTGTATATTGCCAGTGTTAACAATAAAATCATGGAACAAACCAGAGTAGTTATGTGGTTGCTTTTACTCGTGAAATGAACATTTCTAAATAATACACAAAAATAAAATATAATTATCAGTGACCCCACTTTTATTAGGATTAAAATTACGTGATTTGGTATTACAAGATGCGAAGTGAACAGTGATCGTACAAACTAAATGACTATGTTGATTTCTGTTACGAGTGGAACAGTCAGCATGACAAACGGGCATAATTTCTGATAATGCAGTTTGCCACGTGATTGACATTTACGAAATCTTTGCACACCTATATGTGTTTCACTGAAACTATCTGTAAAGCTGGTGTGTATCTGCACTTCAAAACTAGACAGATGACGTGATAGTGTGCGGAGTGAACATCGACTCTGATTGAGTCATATAAAGTTGACGAGTCTCAAATATGACAAAGTAACGCGTTTCTGGTGTTCTACTGTTAGATATCATCCATTTCTGTTTTTATTACTCGTGACGTAATGGGATTGTTGAAGCAACTCCTACATGACGAACGTAGACCGTAAAATGAATGATCAATTGCAGTCCTTAACATCAACGAAAACATCCGAACAAACAGTACGAACGAATCTTCGTCACATCCTTTCTCAAAATTACGTGTGACTGAGAATAATTACTGAATATATTGTTTATAACGAAATGCTCGTCAACTGGCATAAATATCGTAATGATTGTTTTTCAACTCTATTATCTTACTCGATAATCCTACGGTAAAACTGTTGCTACCTCAGTCAGTATACATTTTTACTCATTCCCACTTGAGTATACATTCAACTCTGCAGACATATTTCACAATCAATCGTCATCTTATCTAACTAACTATAGTTTGTCATCCAGCACTAACTAATTAGTGACTAGTCATGTAACGAAGGATGGAAGTGTCTAATTTAATACCGATACATTATTTTGACAGCTCAGATTATAACAACGACCATCGTAAATATCAAATGATATCTTTCAAAAGTAGGACTTTATCGAAATAGACATTCATAACAGAATAATTGTTGATTGCAATTATCACTAAGCGTCGTAAACAGAATACTGCCAATTCCCAAATCAAATCCTGTATAACTCTTGCAATATTATTCAAGTTTTATTAAATTAAAACAACCACGTAAATGTTAAAAATTACTATCACTATTTTATCAACAAAAGTACATCAGTTATCATGTTAACAATCATAAAACTGATTCAAAGTTGCATAAAGAAAAGCGTTCAGCAAATTGAAACGGACAACATAATGTGAAGTGATCGGATGAATTACGAAATGAAAACAACTCGGTCAAATTAATAAAAACAAGTGATATGAACTTTCTGAGAATCATGAATTACTATTCTTTCTCTTATACAACCACCGACCAACAAAACATCCAATACATAAAACACAGAATGAGACGACAATCGGTATCCCAATATACAGGTAATGAAGTGTGTTATTGTGTTTGTTGTGTTCAGTCACGTGTGTGTGTACGGTCGTGTTCTGAAGAAAAGAAAACAGTAGGAATAATACTCAACAAAATATGTTACTCAAATAATTCATCATTCGTTTTACGTTATTTTCAATTTTGAAGACAACATAGATATACGTTGTCATATTTGATTTCTGAAATCACTGAGCTGATAAATTAATATGACTCGAAGCATTTACGTTAAACAACGTTTTTATTCATTGTTTATGGTTACCATGCCAAGCGTTGTACGCATACGTGATTTGATGTCGTCAACACATACAAAGCTTTGATTTAGTCACTTAGGGATGAACACGAATCAGTACGTATTCGAAGCAATAATAAAGTGTTCTTCCGAGTTAAAGGAATTACAATGTGAAATATTGCAATGTTTAAGGCAACCTATGAAGTTTAACAATTACTTACTTTTATACGGCAATCATCTACTTTCAATTCATGAGTATCTTCATCATTGCTAATAATGCACATATTAGCTGTTTCACACCAAATACACCTCATATTTGATGTTGTGGCATTTTGGCATTCGTCAGTCGAACTATGCTTTGAACAACTACCTGTGGATAAAATAGTGTGACTGCATTTCAAGTTATCAAACAAGAGATAAGTGAATAGCAAACTGTGTAACTTAAACTCCGTGGCAATATGGTGCTTTCTGAGTTGGGTATCTGCTCCTACTTTCACTAGGACATTCTTATCACACCTGTTCAATGTCCGAAAAGTTGGAATGATGAAAATATATCGACAATTTGTGACATTTTATTTGACGAATGCTGAGGGTGATCTGAACAACAGATTGTGGAGTGACTCTCTCAGTATTCGAAACGCTACTTTAATAGTCTAACACATGATGAACTGAGAAGTGTTTGTAGCCGCTCAATATAAAACTCCAGAAGGAATGAAACATACTCACACCGTGAAAACTATCAGCAATGTTGATGCTTTACATGTATATTGACTACCATGAATTGCGATTTGTACGCGTGACCTGTCTACACTTTCAGCTTTTCGAACAAGTATGGAACAGCAAAGATATCAGAAATTATACTACAATTTTTAAGGTAATCACATTTACGTGGATTGCATTCGCCATTTCAATATCTCAGAGCAATGCAATATTGCAAAAACGAAGGGAACATTCTTGTCAACACGCTATATACCAGCTGATGTTTAACGTTTTCGAGACCTATATCATCTCATCCATCGTTTTGTGGCGAAGTTTCACAGTACATTTCATCAAAATGAAGACTCTTATAGTAGTTCGAAGTAATTCCTTAGTCATTTCAACATCCAACAGCAAATTGACTTGTAATTATTAATGATAAGTGTAAAGTCATTGAGAATCATGACAGAATATCATCAAATAGCCAATTAAAATTACACATGACATTTCAAATTTGATGAAAAAGATGTCATCTATTCAAGTGTGTAGATAAAAAGTGCTGAATAAACAAGGTTTAACATACTCTCGATTGGTTCAATCTCCACTAGCGTGTCACTTTTGATCCATTTACTGGGGACACTTATCTCAGTTAATTCTACATATTTAACTAATTGAATAAAAAAAGACACATTTGATTTACTTTTATATGAACAACTATTCGTTTACATCATTTCATGAGTGACAAATGTTAAAATGAATTTTTCTGATTACGGATACAGTGACGTTAATGCAGCATCCTAAGAAAATATGCTTCACACAAATACTGGTTTCAAATATGACCGGTGTTCAACCAGCAATCGAAAAATGATGTCGTTAATTTTCTGATTTAGTTTGCAATAGTATCAGCGCAACATCTTCAAAACATGTGTATAACTCGTGACACACTCGTTGTTTAGTGGGTGAATACACTTGAGTGAATACACGAGTGCATATATAGTCTGTCGAATATTATCAGTCATATACACTTGTCAGGATCAGTCCATCGTTGAACGTATGTGTGAGTGTTCCCCATTGTACGTCCACAATTTCGTGATAATGACATTCACACATCTTGATAGTAACTCTAGAAATATCAGGTTAAGCAAACGTCAGCAAATATGCCTCTTCAGATTCCTTTTCGTTGCCATTTATCAAAGACAATTGGAACTAAATTACTGCGAATTCACCACAATAACTCAACTTTATTTCACAACGGTAACAAATATGACGGTTGTTGGATTGAATACAAAGATAATTTGATCTCGATACAGTCAATTGCAGTGAAATATTGTTCGAAGAATACTCGACATTTTCTTGATTACTCTTCACCGTGATTCTTTATTGAATGTGACAACAAAATGTCCGTTCATGAAGTGTAAACATATAATTGACGTTGGATATTCAGTATACAGTAATGTCTAGGTAGTGCGTTTACGAAAAGCATTCTGATTTCAATGGCACTTCGACCAATTTGTCTCACATTCGAATCCATATAGACTTAATTACAATTATATAAGATCACTTTGACAGAAAATAACAAGTCACTATATTGACATGTTCATGACTGAGAACAAATAGAAAGCAAGATAACATGAAACAAACTGTGTTGATAGAGAATAATGTGCATCAAAATACTAGCAAAAATTGTTACTTTCAAGTGAATCTGAACAAGCATCTATATATTGAATCTTTGTGTACAGCTGCCTATCCTCGATTTCCGTAGGAATCTGAAAAGACGTTTTGGAAATATCGAACACTGATCCTCGCAAAATATACACACTATGAACTAATCAACAGTTTAAACACAAAGTCACTCATAATATTCAACAGTGTAATTTTCGAACATCTTATATTTAGAAGACGAAATAGAGTTTGACTGAAGATGACTGTTTCCGTACGATAATCTCATATACACTGTTTGTTCCTATTCGCCTCGATGACATCATCGTTTAGTTTGATGGTACTTCACTTCCAATGATTCACTTTTTTAGGAAGTAGGTGAAGAAAATGTGTGTCACTAAAAAAACTATAAAAGTGTCATTCACTCTGTTTGCACATTTCAATGTGATGATCCCTTTACACCGTGTTAAATATGTCTTAATATATTCAAGCGTATTGCTATGCAGGAATGAGTAGAATAATCTATAGTACGTGAAATAAAAGTTTATTTCCATTCAATTGTTCAACTTACGTTCTCATAATACACAGATATCTTCCCATTCCGATGTATCAGATTAGTGACCTTGCTTGTAATATCTGCAAAGAAAAGTCAATGGCTGTATAAATTCTAAATTAAAAATGATGAGCATGTTATTATTAAATGTGACAGTGTAAATGTCTACTCACCAAAGATCAGATTGAGTGATCACCTATTGTGTTATCACGAATGTTTTCCTCGGTCAATACAAAACAAATATTATCAAGTGAACGTCATGTCGATGAAGTGAATATAATTCCTTCAAAATTACTGTCAGGTGCTTCGTCTTCCAAACCCAACAGGTAGTTCTATTTGAGCGGTGTTTTCTCTAATCACACCCAAAACAATCCGCTCTTAAACTACATGACATGTGTTGTGGAGTGTTTGCTTACAATTGAAACTTGAGAAACACATTGATCAATAAATCGATCGATCGACACTGACCATAGTGATTATAAAGGACACAAATGTATTTGTTAAACATGTGAACTGAATAGCTTCCGAGATACCGTCTTAAAGATGTCCTGATTTGATTACCATGTGATTACTGAAGGTGTGAAGCGTGCTGTTAACTTAAACGGAATTCACATCAAGTTCCATTGAAGCTTGTCAGCGATGATGAATGTGTGCATTTGTGTTTTACGCAAGTGGAGTGACATTGTATCTTCATTCGTCCATTAATTAATCGTCAAGTCTAGTCCATTTCAGTCTATGTCAACTATTGTTCAAGTTCAAATAAAAGTGTTTAAATGATTGGTGGACTACACGCATAATTCCGTCTCCACTTTCCAGAAGCGCTACATATTCATAAATTTGCTAGCCACTGTGAAAACACGAATTGCACAAACTGAACAGGTAAATTGTGAGCAATCACAATGAGTGCTAAGATTTTACATTCCATAAAATAATCATTCAACGTTCGCTTACATGTATCATTAACATGTGTCCGAAAATACCATTTCACAGCAATTGATTCATCTGCAAAAATGAAAATCAAAGGGGGTTTTGTCTATATGTGTAGTGACTATGATTATGTTTTAATAAAGGTACACTATAACGTTGAATGAATTCGCACACGAGTAATCAACTACCTTCCAAGAATAAAGTGAACCGGCACAATTAAATGAACAATTATTTCTTGTGGGGAAGTTTCACGGTTTATTATTATTATTGTTATTTCGAAAACATGATGAAGGTTTCAATCCAGTCAATTGAGAATATTATTTTACTGCTGTACAGTTGATTCTAGGAGCTTCCACTGACTAAACGACCTTTAATATCCACTTGAAAAAATCCTAACTAAATCATTTTCTGAAATTCTGTTACTCGAATGAAATAGAGTTCTCTAAATTGATCCAATTATTATGCAGAAATGTTACTCCAATGTGTTTAATTCCGATAACTGACTGAAATGAATGAACCTGATCTTGATGTTAAGGGTGTTCCTAAGCTTACTAACTCAAATCGTCCTCGTGAACAACTTCGCTTATAGTTTTACGTGTAATCAATTAGATTCATTTGTTTTACTAGGAAGTATCGTTTCTGTGGCATACGTTCCGCGTTGTAGTTTCGATGGACTGGAGAATAGCTACTTTCCACTCAGGTGAGTACATCGTTTAATTTATCATTTCTACTGAATCAATATGATTGTACTTTGAAGTGAGTCCCTTTTTGATGTAATAACTTTAGTTGACAGTCACCAATAGGTGCTTTGAACACTTGCCCAAATATCCAATCACACAATCAAAATAATCACTGTGTATTGGTCAGTTTTCGTGCAGTAATCATGCAAATTACTGATTCATTTATGCAAAGTTAATGTGTGAAAAACAACTGAAAATGTTATTGAATAATAAAACTCACTGTTATGTAGCATCTCAAATTGAGGAAGAAAATTGCCTGGCATAATGTGATTTATCAGTCCGGGTGTATCACTCACGAATAACACTGAACCTGTATTTATTAAATGAAAACATACAATTTGATCAAAATTCTGTTGTGTGTGAATGAAATAATTCGAAATGAATCGGAGACAAAGATGAATTGCATGAACTTCAGTCAGTTTACTATAAAACAGCAAATGTTTCACCAGTTGAGTATGAAAATGAAACACACATTCATGGAACAAACTGTGATTACCAAAACCCATTACCAAACTGTGATTACTAATTTTAATTTAAAGACAAAGGTTCTCTTACCAGTTGTTTGGATCAAGTATATTGAGAAGTTTGTTTCGTAATATTTAAACGGGAATTTCGGCTGAACTTTCTTAAAAGATGCAAATATAAGATTAAGTACTTTCATTGCAAAATGTAGTCAACTCACCTGTCTGGTATTAAATGTTTCAAACGTGCCATTAACAACTGGATTTGACTGTTTAGTACGTATTCTCTGTGAGTAATTGTAATAATGAGTCTGTGTTTGTGTGTTAGAATATGAATGATGAATACTTACATATTTGTATGTAGCGTTGACGAAAATTACTTTTTCATATTTCGCTAATTCACGTTGTTGACAGATGTCTTGACAATTGTAGATATCGCAAAGCAATGTGACGACCAAATACACCGATATTAACAGAGCAAGTGGAGGAATATATCTGAAATAGTTAATATGAGCAGAATAACGTGATGTTATTGAATCAAAATGAAATTCATATAACACACTCATTTAATTCGTTTGTTCAGTCAACACTCACCTCATCTTTCCGTTCAAAATAGTAATGAAATTTTAACAGAACGTGTCAGCTTTATATAGATTTTTCAGTTGTATTGTTGTTTGTTTCTGATTCGATGATTCAAAGTGACCATTAGACGTGGGCTGATATTCATTAAGCGCTGGTTGATGTTCTTTAACTTTTGTGTTGAAAAAGTTTTTGGCTTTGACTAGCAATACTGTGAATAAGTGACTGGTTTATTTGTACTTAAAATTTGTGCTAATGTTTCCACTAACAAGCAGTTTATTGATTTGTAAAATGAGAATTTCTTTGATCTCTATTTTGTGTGAGTAGATGACAATCAGTTTCTTACACACATTTCTAGAAAGCGGCATTCCTTATTCTAATTAAGATTCATTTCACGCACACTACACAATAGAAAATACCATATTATCGGATTTATAAGAAAGAATGAAGTGATAGACAACAAGAAAGTATAATCACTGTTATTCTTACAAACAACTGAGGTCAACAGAATGATGTTTTTAAATAACAATGTCAATTATTTTACACTATCAATATAACTTAATTAAAAGTATATTTTTGTGAGAAAACTCATATTATGTTGTGAGTATGCAGACAGTTGTGATGATTATATTTATTATTCAACCACTTAATCCTAACAGAATCGTCAAGTTAGAGATTGTAATCCATACAGGACGAAGCGGCCGTCCATTGCTTCCAGGTTTTCAATGATGGTCTATCATCAATCGGTATATGATCTCAATCAAACAAATTTAGTTTGACGTAAGAAGCACGTGTTGTGTTTAGGCCAAACAATGACTGTTCATCGAGCATAATCTCATCCTGTCGGACAATGCTATCGCCTAAATTCGTTCAACTATTTCTTGTCAGTTGCCAAACACATTGTTGTATCAAAGGAATCGGAGGAGCGAAACCTGAGTGTCTGCTTGAGCAAACTAGAGAGGATGAAATACAAACAGGGAAACCAACAAACAATCAATGATAATCATTTCGGAACTGAAATCACGTCTTACTATCTATCTGTATATCACCGATTTTCGTTTAAACGAATGAAGACGTTTCAGTGAAGAAACGTTTGCCCTTGACGATATTAAATCATGAATCTGTACAATAGCATTTTCAGTTAATACGTTTGCATGTACTATTGTGCAATAAAACAGATGGATGTTGCAAAATTATCAAAGATATTCAAACTAATCTCTGCAGGGATCGATCATAATGAAGTGTTGTTGCACAAATTTGTTCGTGATAAACAAAATCTTCGTTGTTTAATAATTTTGGTGGTAATTAAAAACATTAATCTTTGGAACCAAAGATGAATATGACTGCGCACTTAAAAGATAAGGAGGAAAAGGAGTAATTATAAGAAATAATTAGCTATTCTATCATGTCAAATTCAATTGATTCATATGACCAATGTTGAATAAGCGATTGAGCGAGACTCTTCGGTGTACAGAATTGGGATTTGAAGTGGTTAATTACTATAGCTTCGATGGTATTCACTAAAACCTTTTCCTAGCTATTCTTTTTGTTTTGATGTGTAACTGGAGTGCAGATAGGCGAAAGTTGTGTGGTCTGAATTGACTGTGTCTTTGAGACTTGAGTTGTTGACTGATTTGGATATCTCATTAAATAATCATGCAGCATGGTGCTCAGATATTCCTTTACAATAGTTAGGGATGTTAGATCCTCAAATTTCACTTGGTAAATGCCTTCATTTTGTAACTTTACTTTGCGAATTCGGATTTCCTTGTTTTTGAGCTAAAAGCATTCTTTTCACCTTCATGTCGTATTTCCGACTTGCGCGAATCTTTGACGCTATTAGTCCGTTGTGTATTTTAGTATGCTATTTTGCAACTCTTCACAATGACAGTTCTATGCTGTGTATATACGTTTGATTTGTGTTTGCTGCTACTGCCCATGCTTCTAGAATTATGGAATATACTTGCTCGTTCAGAACTTCGACTCCTCTCCCTAGTTAGCGAGTCTGAGACACATCAGAATATCTAGCTTATTGGTCTTTGGTCACAAGTCTTCGTTTCGTTCGCATTGTAAGTAATCTTGTAACAGCTTCAAACCTAGTGAAATTGGCGACGGTCGTTTAGGAGACATAGAGTCTGCCAAAATTGAATTATTACTTGAGCAGCAGCTGAAACTGATGCAGACGTCAACTGATATAAAGATTTTGCCCCCTTACAGTCTAGCATATCTAGTGCAACTACAGTACCATCAATAGACGGCATGGCTAATAAAATTGCTGGGTTTCATTATGGTTCTGATGCCAGCGTTACTTTTGACATGTGGTTCTGGCGTTGGGAAGACCTATTGAAATTTGATTCTGCTGATCAAAATGATGCTTTGAAGGTTCGGCTACTACTTCGGAAGTTGTGTGCAACATCGTTTAATTCACTAGGATGATCTATTTTGACCTTTAATACACAATTATTGTGAACTCGGAAATATAGCCTGTCATGACGAAATTATCGAATAAAGTTTTAACCGCCACTCACGGTTCTTCTCTCTACTTCATTTGACACATGATGTGCGTCACATAGATTGATGAACTGAAGACGTGAAAACTACTTGATTCTATAATTGAACGATTACTTAACTCATTTCAACTACTATAGCTTCAATGGTACGAAAGTTATTCACTTAAAACTTTTACTAGCCTCTATTTTATTTTGTTTTGGAACTGGATCACAGATACTCGCAACATGTGTTGTCATCATTGACCGTATCACTTGGAGTTGAGTTATTGACCGATTTGTTCATCCCTTCAGGATAATCATACAGTGTGGTGCACGGATATTTATTTACAATTGTTTGGGATGTTAGGTTGCCGAATTTCACTTGGTAAATGCCTTCATTTTGTGAATTTAGTTTACGAATTTGAATTTCCTTGTTTTCTTACCAAAAGTGCTCTTTTCACCCTCATGTCAAACTTAACACTTGAGCGCATCTTTAACGCTGTTGGTCCGTTGTGTATCTCAGTATGGTATTTTGCAACGCTTCTCAAGGACAGTTCTATACTGCATATATAAGTTTGATTTGTGCTTGTTGCTAATACCCATGCTTCTGGCATTACGAAATATACTTTCCTGTTCCAAACTTCCACTTCTCTCTCTAGTTACAGGGTCGGAGAAGTATCAGATTACCTAGCTTATTGGCCTTCGGTCAGAAGTCTTTGTTCCGTTCGCACCTCAAGTGAACTCGTAATAGCTTCAAACCTAGCGAAATTGGTGAAGGTCGTTTAGGAGACATGGATCCTTCCAGATTTGAATTATTACAAATGCAGCAGCTAAAAATGATGCAAACGTTGACAGATATAAAGATTTGGCCTCCCACGCAGCCTACCACATCTAATGCAACTACAGTATCATCATCGCAAATAGCATAGCAAAGTTCCATTATGATCTTGATTCCAACACATGATATGCGTCCCATAGATTGATAAAATGCAAACATGTAAACTACATGATTCTATGGTCCAACTAAAACTTAACTCATTTGAAATTCGGTGGCAAATGGTTAGAGTGTTTATTCACAGCTGAAGCAAGACCTTGTATAAACCGATAACTAAAATATTTGTTACCACTTCGTTTGTTCATCATAAAAGTAGTATTGCTTTTCTAATTGAGAATTGCACACAACTCTACATCGCGTGAGTACGTGACTGTCAGTCACATAAACACACTATTAGAAAAAACAACATTCTTTACTCTAATTAAGAATAATTCTATGCACAGCACACAATACAGAATACCATATCACCTGATTAATTTGAAAGAAAGTAGGTCAAAGAAGACGACTAATTAATGAAGTGAGATCAACAGAAATATTTTTGTCGACTGGATGTTGAGATTATTGGCACTATTATCGTTAATTATTTTAAAAGAATATTTCTTGAGGCAAATAGCGTATCACTTACTAACGCTTGGTACTCCTTGTGACACAGCATAGGCCGACCAACCACACTCTCCATCTAATCTTGTCCAGGGCAATCTTTTCCAGCTGTTCCCAGTTGTTATTTATCTTTTCCATATCTGCTTCTAATGTGTACTTTGCCCTTTCGCTTTTCTGCTTTCTTTCACGATCCCAAGTTAGAGCTTCTATCGTGATGCAGTTCGGTGATTTCCGTAACGTATGTCCTATCCATTTCCATCGATTTTCCTAATTTCCACTTCCACTGGAAGCTGGTTTGCTCTCTCCCACAGAAGGCTGTTGCAGATAATATCTGGCCAACAGATGTTGAGCATCTTGCTTAGACAACCACTTATAAATACTTGCACCATCTGGATGTTGGTTTGTAGTAGTTCTCCACGTTTCAGCCCCTTACAGTTGAACTGTCTTCTTAAGCGAAGGATTCAACATCTTCCAGAGTTTCTCCATTAATTATGATCGGGTTAGTGTTCTAGGTGTTGTAATTTTGGATCTTGGTTCGTCCTTTATGCGTGCTGAGGCCCATTGACGCAGAAGCTGTTTCCATACTAGTTGTCTTCAGTTGCATTTCTTCATGTGTATGAGATAGGAGGGGTAGGTCATCTGCGATGTCCAAACTAACTAATCAGTCCTGAACTGTCCGTTGTATTTCGTTTTTTCCCTCAGATGACGAGGTCTTAATAATCCAGTCAACCACCAGAAGAAAGAGGAAGGTGGAGAGTAGTCAGCCATGTCTGACTCTGGTCCTTAGTTGTAATACGTCTGTCAGCTGTCCTACATGCAACACTTTGCACTGTGATCCGTCGTGTGAGCTCCGAATAATGTCGACAACCTTCTCAGGAACTGGTCGTCCTGTTCCAATAAGTTGTCCGGACGTTCCATGTGCCCATAAAGTGTTTTGCTCTGCTTGTCAGAAGGCGTTTCGTTTTCATGACTTACAAAGGAACTGGGCTTTCACCATGGGGCATCATATCTCTTCAAAATGAAGATCTAGTTCCAAGGGCAGAGCGTTAATTGTTTGAATTATTTTTTCTGTTTAACTTTTGTATAGAGTGTCAGT